ACGCTTAAATTTCAAGCAATACGTCTTTGTCTTTCGCTGTCTGCATGGTTTATCTAGCCCACTTCTCAGCCTCCTATTCACTCCCCGTTGCACTGGCCCACACTCTGCTGCCACAACTCGGGGCCAAGCTACAGCTGCTCTTGTCTTGCCTGCCTGCCACTCCCGGTATGGTTTCCATTCCATTGCGTATCTTGGTGCCGACAGGTGGAATGCGCTGCCTCCATCTTGTCGCCTGGCCGAGTCGCCTGCTTTGTTTCGCGCTCACACAAAGTCTCATTTAGGGTTCCCAGTAAAAAGGCAACATTGCCTGTTGGGAAATCCCTAACAAAATAAGAAAAAATAATAATAATAATAATAATAACTCACAAATAATAAATCAAACAGCCCAGACTCGAGTAAACAATTCCAATCATACAAGTACGAGATCTTCACGAGACGAGACTGCACCCATTGGCTTGTTTCGTATGAAGCAAACAAGTTTACTGAACCTCTCCACAATGGAGATTTTCCTGATATGCGGAATTTATTTTGCAAACTCGGTCAATGGATCCTTGAACCTTTCCCTCCAGATTGGGAACTGCCAACGATAGTATGCCACTGACCAGTGCCTTACTTGTAATGTACCAATTTACAATGAATAATTATGAGTATTTCGACAACACATCTAACATAAGCCTTACCGTCAAGAAGGTGAACTCGCGTTCTTAGCACACTGTAGACAAGGGCAAAGAGATTATTTATTGCATTCCGCCCAAAATCAGCACACTTTTCGTAAATGAAAGAGTCAACACAAGCAAATGAATCAAAGGGAACTGGTCTACTCACCTGTCATTGAGTAATATTCCGCGAAAGGAGGTCTCAGCAGCGCCGAAACGAAATAAGCCATGCCAGGAGACGAAATATCCGAAACAGCTCATACAAGAAGCAGTTCCAAAGGAGAAAGTTCCTCGCGCATGCACATCCAAACACGGCCTGCACTGCAACACAATGTCTGCCGTGCACGTGCAGAGCACGCGGCTACCACCCGTTGGTAGATCTAATACCGAGCACCTTACGTAGAGACTTACGTAGCCTAAGTGAAATACCGAGCACCTTACGTAGAAACTTACGTAGCATAGCGGTGTCGTTTTTCTTGCCATGTGAACACAATAATAGAAAAGCTGACAGGATCGCTTTTCTAAATGATATGAGGGTACGGTAACACCCGAGTACGCGGGTCAATATCCTACTTATCCCAGGTACATCTACGCATTTTGGGGATCGACGCAACTGCGTTCTGAATACAATTACCAAGATACAGCTATACCAAAAACAAGATGCTGCCTTTCTTTTCAATCCAGTCAAGGTTTGAGAGCGATGGAGCTCGGGAGACAAGTTGCATTTTTGAAGTTGGACTAGAGAATTGACGAAGATTGCACTGTTATGATACATAGTCATTTGGTTCAAAGTAAGGGCCATACTTCAAGTCACGGTGAGATACAACGTCATTGTTGATGCTGGTGCTGACTTCCTTGTCATTGGATCGGCGTGGAACTTTCAACGGTTTGGGATCCTTGCTGAACACTGTCCGTGCAGGCAGTAACCACATTGTACATATCGTCGGACATAGGCACCAGTGAGTAAAGTGCATTTCGTTGTATCAAGACTCTTGGTTGTATCACTATCGGCCACTATGCAATCAGAAGAACGTTTATCTTGTTATATTGTAGGCATACTGGATTTGTAGCAGCATCTACGTTTTAGATTGCTCTTGTGGTAATCGTGCTGGATACGATGTCATGATAATCACTCAGTGCGGGTCGCATCTTGCATCCATATCTTATCTACATCACACATGGATTGCTGAGCTCTTCTTCTTTCACACTGTTGAATATTCTGTACAAGATTTTTCCTCTCACTTTCACGTCTTGTACTTTTCGAGTTGTTGCGGTGTCTCTCCTTGCAATTACATGTAGTAATTTTCACTCGGATGGTGATACTTTGTGTAGTTTTCGAGTTTACAAAGAGTGAATGAGAACTGATGCACTTTGAAGTCTCCTTTGTGTCGTAGTGTTGAGTTGAATAGTGATTGGAGTTCGTTGTTTGTTTGTGTGGAATCTGGTTTTGGACGTAGTCGCGGACGTAAGTTCTCTCCGTTCACTTTTACTGTGCCGACGGTGCACTCTGCATTGGCATGCTCTCACCCTCTCACGGTTCTGTGTAGTGCATTTTGTCGCTGGGTTCTGATCCAAAGCCTCCAGTGGCAAGATGCATTGCATCGAATCGAGAGGGGGTGGGGGCATGCCAATGCAGGGTGCACCGTAGTAGGTACGGTAAAAGTGAACCCAGTTAATAATGAATATCATCCCGCGCGGGATTGTATTGGCTATTATTTCCCGGTCAGCAAGGCTCCTGATTGGCTGAAACAGGCCTATAGTACCGTACCATGGGATAATCTACTATATAGTACAACGACCCCCTAGGCCCTCGGTATTGAGCACTCTCTTGGACAGCCTGGAACCTCTCTGTTTTAATATCAATGCACCTATCACACACACAATAATCCAAAAGGAGCAAGGAGCACACAGAAAACGCAAAGGAACACTGAACTTGCAAATCTTTCTTCCAACTCCAAAACAAAAACAATCCAACACAAGGTGGGATGTTCATGTCTCCTAAAGAGGAAAAGTGCGCGACCTATGTACAAATGTTGTGGACTTTTCACCACATATTCCCACAATCAAGAGTACATAACCCCGGACTCTTGCCACAATCCATAATGTCCACGTGGAATCTGTGGTGTTAACTCCATCCCTTTCTACCTGCACGTGCGAAACGACAAGTCTGGTGGTCTGTAGTAGAATGACAGGGGGCAATCTACTATTATAGTAGAACGACCCCCCGGGCATTGTACTATATAGTAGAGTGACCCCGGGGTCACTCTACTATTATAGTACAATGCCCGGGGGTCCTTCTGCTGGGGGGTCATTCTACTATAGTACACCGGCACTAGTTTAGAACTACACGTACATTGCACTACATGTACAGTCAACTTCGCGTACAACGACACTCGGCAGGGCATCAGAAAAGTGTCCTTATTCGCGAAGTGTCGTTATACCCGAAGTCCCATTACAGTATTACAGTTGGATGTGACTTTGCTCTGGGCATGGAAATTGTGTCGTTATTCGCGAATTGTCGTTATATCCGCAGTCGTTATTAGCGAAGTTGACTGTACATGTACATGTACAGTGAGTATCGTTTATAAAGTGACCGGGTGTAACGATATACCGGCTATAATGATCGAACTCGCCAAAATCAAAATCAAATCACAAAAAAATACAGCTAAAATATCACTATACACACTATTATCGGCTATACCGATATATCGCTTATTGTGATGGGCTTCAGGAAGTAAACCATATCAAATGCACAGGAAAATATCGTAAATACTGATCAAGAGTGATGATCACAAAACAATTGTTCTTCAAATTTTGTTCATTTCTTCCAAAACTGATCCAGTGTTGCCTGGATGCATCTGGCAGCAGACGTGATTGGGAGAAAAATCTTCCCTGTATGCTGTAAGCAGCCACATGTACACGTGGCTGCTTTTCATGCTTTTTCCAGCATATACGCATCATTTCATGCACAGTCATGTGCCAAGTGTTGTCAGTCATACATGCAAATCGGCTATAGTGATGCACCGGATATAGTGATAAATTATCGAAAATCAAAGGGGCACGTTATATCCACTATTTACTGTACATGTACATGACAAACGTCATGACGTCACTCGACTCGCCGCGCGCGTGTGAATAAGAACGGTCTGGCTAGAATCAAAAATTTAAGAACTTTCCTAGGCTGCGCTCTAGCCCCTGCGTTCTTCGGCGCCCGATCTTACTGTACATTTCAATTGCCAGTTACAGTGTGTTCACTGAGACCCGTGTGCATTTGCCTCCGAGAGAGACTGCGGCCCGCTACACATCATCCAATGTTGGTGGGTCCGTGCCACGAACAAGCAGGCGCAGGTCCCTGCTGTCAAGGCCGGCTACAAAGGTGTCGCGCGCCAGGGTATCCTGCACTGCTCCAGCCACCGTGGGGTACGCCCGTCTACTAGCCTGCGGACGACTTCCGCAAAATCCGACAGGGACTCGCCACGAATTTGCCGGCGTGATTGCTCGACTTAATTGACACGTTCACCGTAAGCACGCTTCTTCTCTCCTTCGAACAACATAAATAATACATGTACATGTACAGTAATTGCTGCTCTTCACACACAATCAGCATACTCCTGCAAATCCTGAAATTCCCGCTGCAAAATAACCCCCTTTTTAACGCAAAATTGTCAGCATAATTTAAAAAAAAAATTCCGTCCTCGTTTCCCAAATAGGTACATGTAGGTGTTAGACCTACGTACTGTCACTACTCTTGTCTACCGACACACTTGCCTTTTTTGGTCATGCCTTGTCCGCTACTGTACTGGTTCATGGATACTTTTCTCTTTCGTTCATCTCTCATGCAGTCTTGATGTTTGGAATATTTGTTTACTGTTGAGCCAACAAGCTGGAATAATGAAAAAAACAACCAGCCAAATCCGCGTTCTCTACACGGTAGTGCTAAACTGCTGAGACCAGAGTTCGCATCGTTGTTCGTGTGCCTGACCAGCTAAGCGCAGGTTCCACCGAGGAGGCCCTACACTCTCAGGCCCAGGGCCAGGGAGCCCTACACAGTGAAAAACGTATGTGTAGGGCTCCTGCTCAGGCCCGCTGTTGAGTTTTTTGTGCTCTCTCCCATTCATTTCTACAGAGTAGGTTGTATCTTTTAAGTTAAAAAGAATTCTTTTTTAAGTGACCACGTTCATATCATTGTATTTTCATGCCGAGACCCCCCCCCCCCCAGGCTACACGCATGATTGAGCTACATGTACAAGTAAAGTGTTGATCGATGAACTGGATCCGATCAAGCTTGCCAATGTCATGTCAGGTGCCTTGCAGCCCTAGCCAGACCTGCCAACCGTTGGTATATTCACTGGAGCAGGGTGCAAACTTGACTCCCACGACAGGATGATTTCATTGGGCAGGCACTACATTAGTCCAGGAGAATGTGGTAAAGGCAATGACTATTTGACAGAGCTAACAGAAGATACAGAATGGCTCTCCAGCATTGACTGGGCCAATAATATAAAATCAACTGCCAGCGACATAGAATATCAATCCCAGGGCTCATCAGCGGCCAGAGGGGGATAGTAGGGAATCAACAGAAGGCGGAGGGATGAACCACTGGGTATGTAAAATACATGTATGGAAGTACAGGTGTCTATGTGCTAAATACAATCATGTACATACTTCAGAAGTAGGTATAAGTACAAGTTTCTATGTGCATGAGTGCATCATCAGGCTGTTCAGAGTGCTCACTGTCCAGTGGACTGAGCTGGTAATACAAGACAAGAGTGAATACAAAATGTAGAGCTCCAATTGGGATTTGAGTATAGTAAAATAGATAAGGAGTGTTGCTCAACGACGTGGGCATGACATCATCACTATGGGACATGACATCATCACTATGGGCATGAAAGCATGGATTAGTGCATGACATCATCATTATGGGCATAAAAACATGGATTAGTGCATGACATCATCACTATGGGCATGACATCATCATCATCATGAACTTGTGGACAGTGAACAGCCATGCACAACTGTGGCACTTGCCAGAGAAAACAGAATACATGTTGGCGGAAATATTTTCTCATCAGGAAGACATCAAGGACAGTGAAACCATCTCAAGAGAACGAGCTGGAGAAACGTCTGTTGAAACGCGGCTATAAACTACATACAGGAAATCATAATACATCAGCTTATCATCAATCCATCCTGGACCTATACTTCACAGAGTAGGTCCAAGTGGAGACGATCGATACAAATCTAATGGACAACTGGAAGTCAGCAGTAGCGGAAGATCCCAGAGAAACATCGCCTGTATTGGACCAACACAAGAAAGAAGATGTACATGAATGCTGGCCAGCTCTCATTGACGGTCCGGTATGGGGTATGTATGGGATATGTATGGGGTATGTATGGGGTATGTATGGGATATGTATGGGGTATGTATGGGATATGTATGGGATATGTACGGGGTATGTATGGGGTATGTATGGGATATGTATGGGATATGTATGGGATATGTATGGGGTATGTATGGGTTACGTACGGGATAGCGTGCCAGGCACGGCATGTCATGTGACATGTGAACATGCACAACACACACCCATTCATAGGGAATACGGCGGTGTGGATACCGGCTATGACAGACACTACAGTTAAACATGTCTAAGACCACCACTCAAGAGACCTTCAGAACGTGTTCTCTGTTATCAGGTGATCTCCTTATAGGCGATTCACACGACAGACAAATCCACGTGCACCGGACCGTTACTATGGCATTTTACCTGCGAACGAGAAAGTGGCTGAAAGTGGCTGAAAAGTGCAAGTGAGCTGGGGGCCCACTTTCACGATAATCGTGGTGTGCACGAGTGCATTTACACAAAAAAGCGCGAAACAAGACTTGATTGTTTACGCGGCTCTTTTCACCATGATAATTATTGTATGCGTGTTTTGAAAATTTGAAATACCCATGGGAACTGGTGGGTGAATCATTCAAAAATGCAAATGTGCCTGTCGTCGAGTGCAGATGTGTGAATCGACGCACTCACTTTTCTCGTGAATCACTCGCTGTAAGACGTGCACGTGCCTGTCGTGTGAATCGCCTAGTAGTGCTATCCAGGACCATTTGACTGGAAATAGCATCCCTTGGCCCGGGTTGCAGTGGTCTAATGGGACAGGTGTTGGCATTATCAGAGTTGTCACCTTGATAGGTGTTACTCTGCTAGTACTAACGTAACGTCTTGTGCATAGCTTTGGGAATGACATGAGTGATTTGTCCCTGCCCTCGCGATATCGAGCACTTTGTGTAAATACAAGTACATAGTAACTCAGCTTGTAGTACAAGCCGTACATTCCGTATATATGTTGTATGAGCCCTTTAGACCCGTACACATTCCCGTATGCACACACTTCCGTACACATATACATACACATCTGCACATCCCTGTACACACACGTTCCTGCACTCCCTACACATTCATGCACCCCTTTTCCCGCTCACCCTATAGCTATTGCCACTTACTGCATGCACCCCTTTTCCCGCTCACCCTATTGCCACTTACTGCATGCACCCCTTTTTACCTCAACAACTTTAGATATAACCAGAAGGCTGAGCTTGCGCAGTGTAGTTAGTTCTCCTAGTTTATTCTCCGAGTAGTTCTCCTAGTGGATTCTCCGAGTAGTACTCCCAGTTGTTCTTACAGTTGGTAGTCCTCCGAGTTGTTTTCTCCTCATAATTGCCCCCGAGTCCTCTGCTTTAGTCCTCCTTGTGTTCAGTGAATATAACTGTTATCCTAACCTACATTCCGTGCTGCCGTGTAAAGAGTGTGATAAAGTAGAGTAGTAACGTAGAGTACAGTACCCATATATAGACGGCGTACATTTGATAACATATACTGTCATTGACATGGAAATCCGGTGGAATGACCGGGGCCGCCACCCTCAGTGCGTACAGAACGTTGTATACATGCAGTGCACGTGTTGATAGCAGTACACATGTACTAATGGCTGTCATGGGGCCGCTTGACCTCCGACTGGATTTCCATGTCCACAACAGTAGATATACAGTCAGACCTGGCTTATCCGGTTCTCTTTTATCCGGATCCCTCGCCATCCGGAAGAAAATCGCTGGTTACCGATTTACAGCATATGGCATGCATACATACAGTATGTGTGGTCGATTATCCGGTTCCCTCGGCTATCCGGATATTTTTTTGTGGAAAACGGATGTGTGCGGTTATGTGTAGTCTGACTGTATAGCAATACGGGATGAATTGCACTCGGAACTCAAAGCAAAGTCCAGTTATATTGCACTTGGCTTACCCGGGTAGTCATGACAACAGAGGCATCATGGCCGATCAAGGAGAGCCTCAAACTCAGTACGCTTGAATGCGAAGAGTGAGTTCATGTCTGTGATGATGTCTAAGAAGATGATGAACGATGCCCGCCCGCACCCCTGCAGGTGCTGCAGCAGTTCCTCGTTGTGTACATTTGGGCCAGCACTCTTTTCTAGTGCCCTGAAGTGCCTGATAATCAGGTTGTCTGCAAGAAGCCTCCGTGCTATGACTTTGTCTCGGAACGTTCTTGGGTCCAGTGAGATAATCCATCTTCGGTACTTGTCCAGGCAGAAATCTGGATGGTCCCAGGGATCTAGGGGAATACAGCACAGAACACAATGCAGGCAAATATACCAATCTACTCTTATCTGCATAGAGAACTACAGAGCAACAGAGCATAATTGCATCTTGGTATGGGTCTTATCCAGAGCACAGTCACACCAAGAATAATGAAATATGCTATAGAAAATTAGTCAGGAATAATCTTCAACATACTGTACTCGTCAGTTGCTGGGCTGGCGACGTCATCAGAAGCAGCTGCAGTCAAATTGGCACAGCATGGAACCACACACATGAGATTACAAGTACATTTTGCTAGGTTCACTGCCAGCACACACACATACGCACACACACACGCACGCACACACACGCACACACGCACACACACACACACACACACACACACACACACACACACACACACACACACACACACACACACACACACACACACACACACACACACACACACACACACACACACACACATTTAAATCACTGTAAACCAGCTCATGAGCGCATGTGCATAGATTTTGGGCAATATACAATCCAACTGAAGAGATTGAATCCTAGATTTCTCCCTTTGTTAACCAGTTCAATTCTTGCAAACAAGACAGTTGAAATGCCGCAAAACATCACCACCTTAACATTGTAAGAGGGATGAGTTCATGGTCAGAAGAAATGATGTCATCACTCATTGGCATTACATCATCATCTATTAGAATCACGTGATAGCCAGTAAACAAAGAACACATACTTAGACATGAACACCAGGGGATGTTTGACTGGCCAATCCGGATTCAGATCAGATCCACTGGACCAGTCAAAACAGCAGTTCCCAGGCAGACTTACGACTATACAGTCATGCAGCAACACACATCCATCTCCATATCCATATCCACTCACGCACCCCCACCCACACACCCCCACCCACACACCTCCACCCACACCCACACCCACCTAAACCCGCATACACAAATAAATACAAAGCGTATTTTCTGGAGTATAAGCTGCTCCTAGTCTTTTTGTCACGAAATACCGACATCTATCCCATTAATTATCCCCATCAATTTGACCATTGTTGTATAAGACAAACAGATTTTGTTTTGGGTGGATTGCTGGTGTTTAAAGTGCCCCTTAAACTCTGAAAAATGAGCTACACATACACAGCATGCACATGTATATTATACACATGCACAGCACTCACACACGCACTCACATGCACACACACACGCACACACATAGGCACACACACACACATGCATGCATGTACGCATGCATGCACACTCACTCACACATGCACACACAACACCAGTCCATGTATCAATGCAAGACAACCACCTACCAGTCGTGGAGTGGCTATCACTAGGGCTGACAGTACAGAGGACCCGCCCTGGACACTCCAGCATTGCCTGATACAAATCTTTGGCACTGGCTATCTTGGGAAGGATTTCATCGACCAGGGTTAGCACCACGCTGTCAGGCAAGTTGGAAATCGACCCACGAAACAGATCAGTAGCCATCTTGGTCTGACGGTTCCACAGATGTTCGTCCACGTCATCCAGGAAGGATATATTCACCTGTCCACATTCGTTCAGTTTGAGAAGACAGTCGTGTAGTGGAAAGTCGTGGCGTAGGAGAATGCGATGCTGGTAGAAGGCCGAGCAAAGACGTGCGGCTCTTCGGCGTTCCGAAACCGTATCTACACACGGAAATAAGAGTGGAACAAAAATACTAGGAAAAAATATGACCCGGGTTACGACCAAAACGTTGTCATAAAACCTTTAAAATATGTTACGCACGTCGTGTCATACGCATATACGGACAAACAGACAGACAAAGAGACATGCTCAGAAACAGTCACACCCACCCGCAGACAAATATACACATGCACACATACACATGCACACATACACACATGTGCACCATACTTGCCAACCCAGCCGAAGCAAATCCCTTAGTAACACACCCAGTTTCCCTTACTTTTCTCTCATTTCCCTTATTTTGCTGGTTTTCGCCAATTTCGGCCAATTTCTCTTTTTTTTGGGCAATATTTGCGTATTTTTGCGTATTTTGCGCAATTATTTGGGAATTTTTTCTTTCTTCTTATTGATTTCAAACCCATTGCTCATTGGGGGACCAAAACCTGAGTTTCTTCATTGTCAGATCGCCCCTCCATGTGTGATTCTATGAAATGCAAGGCCGCTTGTGCCCTTGTCACACCACAAAACAACCTTTTCTTACATGACCCGTGATCGTTGCCGGGGCCATGGCCAATAGGCGATCTTCCCGCCGCGGGCATAATCAGGCCATCAGGACCGTTTGACGTCATTTCGGTAGTTTCAGGACCGTTTGACGTCATTTTGGGAATGGCAGGACCGTTTGACGTCATTTTGGGAATAATTTTTCGACCTTTCGACCTTTGACCTTCCCTAATATGTTGCTTCGTGCTGTAAGAAATCAAATCAAGCACGCTCTGTCTGTCATGATGGCTGAATCTTGCCCTTGCCTGCAGCCCTCGGGCCTCCGGCCCTTGGGCTGCAGGCTCGGGCACGATTCAGCCATCATGACCTCCTGAGCGTACTTGATTACATACTTTTGGAACACTCATGGTTCAGTGGCAATACGGGTAGTTTTTCGATCAAAGTAAAAAATCCCCGGTATGCCGGTAGTTACCCTAGTTTTCCAGTAGTGTACTGAGAAACCGGTGTGGTTGGCAAGTATGGTGCACATACACAAACACACACACACACACACAAACACACACACACACACACCTAGGCATGCACATACACAACAACTTCACTGTTGGCGGTATGGGAAGGGATCGGTCAGGTAGCAACTGCCAAAGCAGGAGCCTTGAAAGAGCCAAGAGCGGTAGTCCAGTCTACAGGACTCTAACCGAGTAGCCGGAGATTCGAGTGACCAGCACCCAGCACCCTCTTTATATCTTACAGAGTACTGTATAGCAGGAAATTTTCGGACGGAAATATTTTCGGACAAAGCCGAATTTCGACATTTCGTACGGATTTTATTTTTGTACAGTGGTGCATGCTAAATGCAATTGTTTGCTTGCGGTACGCATGTTTAGTGTACATAACTTCACAGGAACAAATTTTAGTACGGAATTAATTTTAGTACAAAAGAGGGCGTGTACGAAATCGTACGAAAATAAATTCCGTCCGAAAATTTCCTGCTATACAGTAAATCAGTGACTTTAAAAAGTGGGACGTGGATGTATGAACAACAGAAATCTGACAACCACAAACTGTGATCAGATACGGAATGGAGCAAAACAAAGAAGAAGAACTTTGGTGGGGAGGGCCAAGAAAACTGTAAGAGACAATTGCTCCTAATGAGGTAGCATCATTTGAGCAGTAGCAGGGATACATGGGCTCCCATTAATCTTCATTATTTTCACAATGCTACACACACTAAGACAGACAGAAACACATACCGCCACACACAAACACACACACACACACACACACACACATACACAAACACACATGCACACACACACACACACAAACGCACACCGAGGCATGACACACAGTGCAACTGACCTGCATTAAAGCAGCTTGCGGACACAGCATATGGATGGTTTTTTCTTGTGTCGGGCTCCCGCTCATCAGGCATGACAAACTGAGCACGCAGTCGCTCACTGGCAAGGAACTCCATGGCAGCATTCAGGTCTCCTTGCTGATCCCGCTGTCGCAGAAGATCGCTACTCGGCAGGCACCCATCATCAACGAACGCCGTTGACATGTCAGAACCAGGAGATTGTTGGCGAGGAAGAGCAGAGATGTAATCCCAGACAATTTCCTGCTGAGAAGTCACGCTACGCTGGTCGGGCCCTCTGGTTATGATGTTGAGCGCGAGTTGACCGTGTGGGATCTCCACCAGTGTGTCTGTGTTCCCGTAGTGAGTTAGCGAAACACGAACACCTCCCTGCCAAACAGGAAACTTGCGTGTCCTGTTGGCGAAGGAGTTGACGAGTGACATTTGTATGGTGGGCATCAACGCTGCGCTGACAGGGATGCCAGACTTACAGTAGAGACGGCGACCAGTGTAGTAGATGTGCTGGTCGGGGTTGGCTTTCTCCCAGTGCAGACTAGTGCGTGATTCAGCCTGTGCAGGAAGAATCATGACTTGCTCACCATCCTCGGTTACATGACACATACCTAGGCGAACGGCAATGTCGAGAGCGTCTTCACCACGCACCGGTGAATCTTTAGCCAGTACTTCAATGACATGGCTGCGTGAAGCGAATCCAAAATCATCACAGATAATGATTGGTGGAGGATATGAACTTGGGGAGTAGAACTTCCCTGTGATGTCACTCATCAACCATAGAGGTTGAACAACCACCAGCTTGGCATCGGGAAAATAGAATACCTGTAGTGAATACACATAGATACCCCATGTACATACATGCACACATACACACATGCACATATGCACACATACAGACATGCACACATACACACATACACACATATACATATAAATATACAAATATTACACAGCAATGAATCAAAAACGTCTCATTCCGCTGTAACTCCGAGTTTCGTGTCAGAACACTTCATATATATGAGTTTCGTGTCAGAACACTTCATCAGACAGCATATGCATATGCTGTCTGATGAAGTGTTCTGACACGAAACTCGGAGTTACAGCGGAATGAGACGTTTTTGATTCATTGCTGTGTAATATTTGTATTACTTGCTCTGTCCAGTGGACATTGAGCACTGTAAGCAGCCTAGGGACCTTAGACAACTGTCTACATATAAATATACATATACAGTGACATACACACAATCACACATGCTGTAGTGATGGAGTATAGTGCACACTTTAGATGAGCTATTTCAGGCCCCAAATCACAGGTGTGCACTATGAGAATGCATGAACTTCGAAAATTAGTGCATTGCATCAATGCATCAATGCTTTCGAAGTTTGCCACTGCTGACCCGGGGCAAGCCATATGCATGCATATAATGATGTCTACTGTCAGCTAAACTGCACATGCATGATGGGTACGAGACCCCATAAGTAGCACTTGCATTATAAAAAGCTACACGAAATAATACTATGATAATTTTGCTAATGTTCCCTCTATAATGCTGTTTACCATTACCTCAACTAGTGAAGATTCTGTAATACTGTCTTTATAATAGTCTTTAAAAAATAGATACTGGAAGGTTCGATGGACTTTTCGTGCGCTCTGGATGGCAGCCGTGAGTCAGTCAAGTGTCAAGTCAAGTCGGCGGAAAAGCGCGAGCTCCAGAGTGGGGAGCAAACCCTTTTCAAACAAATCATTGCCGAAGTCGCTACCACTACTTCGCTTTAAAAGTGATAATTTCCTCAAACCTAGGCTGCCCATCATACTCCGGATATACCTTGAATTGCCAACACGTTGATCAAAGGAGTTGGTGCACATTATATACTCTGGCAAATGTGGCAAATACATACCATGTATACATATACAACCATTGCAAGAGAAACACAAAAATCTGCAAATGCACTTGTTGTGCACGAACAGATTTGCTCTTACAGCAACGATAGAGGACACGATCTAAATGAAACAGATCAAGTGATGATAGCCTATTGCCGCCTGATAGTTTCCCAGTACAAAACAGCCTACCGTTCCATGCATTTTCCTGTATTCCTGTAAATTGCTCTTCGCTCACTTGCATAGAATACTCTTTGAAGCTACCCTGACTGACACTGATTATCAGCATAGCCTATTAGTACTTCCACACGATTTTGTTGCATCCTGGACATTACATGTCGCGCAGAATATTGCGGGTTACAAAAGGATTTCTCAAACTTAAGAAGACAGTACTTGGAGCAGCAAAGTTACTTACAGCGCTTTCTGATGGAGGTTGAACAGCTCCATGTTGACATCCAGGATTTCCTTCAGCGCTTTCAGTACAACTGGTATTGAAGAGTCATCGTAGTTATAATCAAAGCGAACAATTGCTGTAGCCAGGAATTCCATAAACTGGTCGGTGCTGATAGCAGGACTGTCTCTGCATTGATCACGAACATTCTCCAGGTGTGCCTCAGAAATGGACACAACCACCTCCGAATAGGGTCCAGATGCCTATTGAGAACATAACATTGGAAACCAAGATGAATACACTTTGAGAAAGGAGAGAGAGAGAGAGAGAGAGAGAGAGAGAGAAAATGAGAGAGGTGGGGGTAGGGACTGTTTGGAGGTGTGTTTGTTGAGGGGAGGGGGATCAGGGTTGGACTTGCAAAACATCAAACAGTTTAAAATGATAGACCAAAGCCAACACTATTAACAGGTACCGTTGAGGATTATGATTTTAGAACGTTGTCATACTCACTTGTTGTCACCTTTCCTTTGTGTCGTTGGATCACTTCTCTCAATGCAGCCACACCTTCACACGTCTCATTGACAGCATTGACGAATGGGATCGGCTCATCAGGAATTCCAGATGCTCGCTTAAGATTTTCTGCAGCGTCGCACCATCCTTCTCAATGGCGGTCATTGCGCTCCTTGGAGAGTCGGTCCCGGCGTGTCACAACAATAAGAGCTTTGTTGCGAATGGTTGTGCCTCTGGCACAGCTGCAGGCAATGAAATCTGCCCAGGTGCGGATCCAGCGTCTCATGTTCACGATGGACTCCATGCCCGACACCGTGAGCAGATTGAGAGCCCAGACGTCGGAGAATTTCGTCAGTCGCTGATGTTGTGACATGAATCGATACTGACCTCCAAGGTCGAGGTATATCGTACCGTAGGCATCCACGTAACGTCGCATACCTCGTGTTCTGGAGGCCAGTTACTTGTCACATTGGTCACCGCGGATGAAATTCTGAATTTGCCAAAGAAACGGCGGCGGTTAGAATTGATTTCAGAAGGGATGACTTTCCTCCGCCAGGGGTGACCCAGAAGTCGAACAACCAGTGGAGATTGCTGGTTAGTTTTCCGGCGATCCTGTTCAGTGAAACTTGCTACAAACACAATTTAAGTACGAAAGAGAAAAAAGCAAAGACAGAAGCGGGGCACATTTGATACACAAATTTCAACCTCCATCCAGCGTGTCTTGCCTTGGACAATAGTGGCTAAACAAACAAGCAACACCCACTCTCAATACCGTATTTATACAACATACACTCATCTACACGGAATTTCTCGCAACGTCAGACAATGAAGTATACTTGTAGCAGGCTAAATCGGAGTCTCACTTCACGAATACTTCACATGGCCAATTCAGTAAAGCCTTAGCTATGAACAAACGTTCAGAAGTTTTGTTTAGTCACACGGATTCAACATTAAAATGTGTACTTCAGTAAAAAAATACTTGTATGGATATAATACAGTGTTTTGGCCACAAACAAAACCCTGCACCTTATCAGCAATGACTACTGATCTTCAGCAACTTGGATCTCCTATAATACGCATCCTGTCTATGCTTTCGTAATGCTAACATAATGCTCGGATAGCACTCGCTACTGATCTTCAGAAACGTGGCCTGGCTATCGCTCACAACGAGAGAGCTTGGAAGGTCAGGGCCCTACGCTATGCTTTTTGCCTTGATGACCTAGACAAAAAAAAGCATAGGGATGTTATAAATTCTTTAAAAAATTCCTTTTTTTAAGACATAACCTGGGATTCGAACCCGCACTATCGCGCACCCCTGCATGCATGCCCCGATACACTTCGCATACATGCTAATTCTTCCAAGTTGCTTCACGTGATGATCTTGTATTTGAAAACCCTATTTTAATATGCATTGTGGCCAGCCGTCTTTGAATGTACGGTACGGTACGGGATAGGTACGGGACAGGTAGGATCGAGGGTAATACGACACCGTCTACCGCCTTGATGACTGCAAAAAAAGCATAGGGATGTTATAAATTTTTCAATTCTCCAATTTTTTTTCAGGCATATCCTGGGATTCGAACCCGCACCATCGCCCTACATGCATTCCCCTATACACTTCGCATTCATACCCATTCTTCCAAGTTGCTTCACGTTATGATCTTGCTTTAAAAGCCCTATTTGAATATTGCGGCCAGCTGTATGTGGCCAGCTGTGTTTGATGGTACGGTCCGGTACGGGACATATACGGGATAGCGCCAGGCGTGACACAAACAAACACACAAATACCAAATTAAAGCTGTGTGGACCCTGACGTTACTGAAGTAACGTCTTCTGCATAGCTACGGGAATAAGCTGTTGTAATGTTCATCGTACTGTTGTACGACATGCTATACGACATCCTTACACCGTACAACACCCTATTTGAATATTTTGACCAGTTGTGTTTGATGGTACGTTACGGGACAGGTATGGGATATCGCCAGGCATGCCGACGGCACACAAAAACACACACCTTGATGGTACGGTACGGGATAGCACCGGCATGCTGATGGCACAAACAAACCACGGAATTAAAGCTGTGTGCACCCTGGCTAGCGCCAGACATTACTGAATTATCGTCGTTTACATAGCTACGGGAATAAAGTATACTTGTAGCAGGCTAAATCGGAGTCTCACTTTACTTGAACGTGAGCAATTCAGGTAAAGCCTTAGCTGTGACCTAACCTTCAAAATGTTTTGTTTAGTCACATGGATTCAAAATGTTGCGGATATCTGTTCGACTATGATTTACGCATGTTGTTGTATTTTGGTTTTTGTCTTGTAGAGTTCAGTGTCTGATGTCATATATGGTCTAAGTGTACGTGCGAGTATGGTGTGATGTGTGACGTTTATGGTATATGGTGCATGCAAGAGTACGTGTTGTCAGAGTGTGAGGATCTGCTTCCGTCTGTGTGAAAGTTACTGTCAAGTGAATGCTGTACATGCGCAGTGCTAGTTTGGTCTGGGGAATGAGAGTCATGTGTGATTCGTCCGTGGTCTGGTTGTCTTGGTCTTGGTCATATATTCTGTATGTATCAGTCCCTGATTGGTCATCCCGATTTGTCGTCGCTTTATTACTGCTTGTTCTTTGTTGTTTCTTCGTGTCTTTTCCCGGGTATCTTTTCCCGTCGTCGTTTTCAGTCTAGCCTTTTTGTCTTTCTGCTCCTGCACCCTCGTCATTATTTTGTTGTTATAATGTAAGAATTGAGACACAACATAAAAGTTTGCGTTGCTGTGTGCGAGGGCAGGGGGAGAACTAATTACATTTCAAAAATGTGTAAAAATACTTGCACGTGTATGAGTAAAAAACAGTGTTTTGGCCACAAACAAAACCCTGGGTTAGAGTCCA